TAGCCTTATTCACTGAACAATATGTTTATTCATTGTACAATATATTTATTCATTGTACAACATCCTTACCTTTTGCCAAATATGTTTGTTCATTGTACAACATCCTTACCTTTTGCCAAATATGTTTGTTCATTGTACAACATCCTTACCTTTTGCCAAATATGTTTGTTCATTGTACAACATCCTTACCTTTTGCACAATTTGGTTATTCATTGTACAATATGTATATTCATTGTACGATATGCTAATTTATTGTACACTGTACAAAGTTTACAACACCGCCTTACATTCGCCGAAACAGGGGCACTTTGAAAGTAAATTATTAATATTTTTCTGTTCTAATATAACCTGCTTTACATGTAATTCATAAATAATACGGGCCAGAAAAAAAGAGAAGGTTTTTTCCAACCTGGCAAAATTCGTGAAGCTTTGACAAGGCTCATTTGGTATCGACACCCCAAGACGCATTTAAATTTCAAAATCTCGTTAAATCCAAAGCACTTTGATTAATCGAGCCATCAATATGGTTATTCATATCATGTATTTTTTGCTGTGAAAAATGTTAGTGTTTGAATATCGGTGAATACTTGGTAGCTAGCCTTCTACAATGATGAACATGGGACGTTTCACTGAAGTAGGCCGTGTTTCGCGCAGACCCATCTCAACACATGTAGCCGTCATTAGATTAAGTGCATTTCAGGAAATGGACGTGCACACTCTTTTACCACGTGTATATTGGCACGAAAAGTAATCGTAGTTTTAGCGCTCATGGTTAGAAATAACCCCTCATTTTAGATCGGAAAAATTAGTTCAAACTTCATTGGAATTCCAACTCTGTTGAAAGAACTCGCCAAACCGATGAAAACATCACTGGATACCATTTCTGAATAATTACATTTGCACTTTTTACAGCAACTTGTATGGCAGACCAGCTGGGCCACTGAACATCCCGTTGTTCCGAGAATGAAATTTGGTTGATAAAGTCCTTACTTTTTCAAGGCTGCTTTCGTTACAAGAAGTCTGGCTTATACGTAACGATAGCGTGTAATCATGTGAACCTTAAATTTGGCAATCCTTTGTCATTCTTGTTCGAATAAGTTATTTATTGTCTAACATGTCAAAACGGACCTGTATACAAAATTAAGACTTGTTCACAAATTAAAACTACAGAAACACGGATATAGGGACATATGGATCATTTAAGGTCCATGGTTCCATACTGTGTTCAGCTTTATGTTAACAAATGTAGCACCGTGTGTTTTCAAATGTCCATACAATAGTAATTCTGCAGAACATATATTTGGAGATATTACCTGTTAGCACTGTCCTTATCACATACATGTATACCTGTACATACAGCTGTGTCGAACTAGAATGTGTCACATTCCCGGATGTCTCGAACTCCTATCAAGCATAATATTAACCTGTTCTCGGTTTTCGGATAGTCACTTTGTTGGATATCTCGAACCCCGGATAACTCGAAGTTTTGATTTCAAGCTCCCACAAGTTAAATACAACATTGATTAACTCTGTGTGTGTGTGTGTGTGTGTGTGTGTTATTGTGTAGTGTGCGTGTGTTTATATCAGGGGTTACACACATACACACGCAGAGAGAGAGGAGGCAAATGGATAGAGGGAGGAGAGTAGAGGAAGAGGGGAGGAAGAACATGATGGAGAATCTGTGTCACCTTTGCAAAACTTCAAGTCAAACCTTGCCTAGAACCTTTGGGGTCCCGAATGTCTCAAACTACGAAGGGTGCATTTTTTCTAATTCATTTTCATGAATAAAGGCTAAGCCGGCATAGTGGCCGAAGTTTGTGCAGAGTAATGTCCCTTGGGCACGCCAGAAACCTGTAATCATGGGTTATAATCCCAGTTCGCCCAAATAAAGGTCCTAGGTTTGTCAGGACCAGGTGTTTGCTCGTGGGTTCCACCAAAATGGTAAAACATCTAAGACCCAGATTATTGTCTCCAACATCAGACTGACTTGTCAAAATAAAAATATTGGTCAAAGTATCAAACCCAACTCACTCACTCACTCACTCACTCACTCACTCACTAACTCACTCACTCACTCACTCACTCACTCACTCACTCACTCACTCACTCACTCACTCACTCACTCACTCACTCACTCACTCACTCATTCACTCACTCACTCAGGCATAAAATCGGTATCACGCTAGTGAGTAAGTGAGTTTAGTTTCACTCCGCTTTTAGCAATATTCAAGCAACACCATGGCGGGTGACACCAGAAATGGGCTTCACACATTGTACCCATGTGGGGAATCGAACCCGGGCCTTCGGCGAGACCAGCGAACGCTTTAACCACTAGGCTACCCCACCGCCCGTTATCACGTATGTGGTTGGTAGCCGTGGTTCTTGTACTCGTTCGCACTCAATTATAGTGGTTGTTCACTGAGGTACCACGCTGCCATTTACGGATGGTCCAACTCTATAATTACTCCGAGCCGTCCTTTTTCTGTCCCTTTTATGACGAGCGCCAACCACGGTAACAACAAGTACCATCTTTAAGACCTTTCGGAATCCAACCATCGTCTTTCCCTCTCCGGGCAGAAGTTGTAGGCACTAGACCACGGAGCAGGTCATACATGTACCTCTCGAAGCTCGGATAAGTCGATTATTATGTTAACTGCTTCTAATAGATCCCACAGTGATCAATAAGAATGAGGATATATTTGCCAAAGTCATAAGAAATAACAGCAAAAACCATCAATTGAAGGACCAGGAACCGAAAAGACACGATTTTAATCCATTTAATTCCAGTGACAGATATGTATTGATTGAAGGATGTTTGTTAGGGGTAAAATATCCATTTTATCATCATGTTTGGAAGCGACATAGCCGTTCGATAACTACGCTACGTGACTTCAGAGATTATTTTCTTCATTTCGCTTTCATTTTTTTTAAGAGCTTTATGTGAATCTTAGAATATATGAGTAAATCTCCAATTCCTGACTTCTGCAACTGCAGGAAGATTCTTGAAAATGGTGTGAAGCACCATTGGTTAAGTCATGAAGCTTTGTAAATATGTTTTATGGACAGGATATTTTATTCAAGACCTTTCACTCAAATATAGGTGTGGCGTGAAGACTGCTGAACACATCAATAATATCAATAACATTATTGATGAAAACAGGTTGTTATTTTTCATTTCAAATATTGGACGCACGCTCCGAGGAAACTGTCGCTCTGTTTTTAATGCCGTTTTTGTGGATATAAATCGTGTTACAGAACATAGCTGTGTTTGAAGTCAGTTGTTTTTGTGTTTTATCTAAATTTATTGTTCGATTCAATGTTATATGTGACAGTATCGTCATCCAATGACGTATGCTTACTCTGTTTGTTACTTACGTAGGGGTGGGGAGTTAGTCAGTCTTATTTATCTAATCAAACAGTAGATACCGAAAAACATGGTTGTGTCGAATTTGATACTTCGAGTTATCCGATGTTCGACACAACAGATGACTAAATACGGAATACGCAGGGATCAAGCTTTTAGTTCGAGAAAGGTAGATTCGACACATCAAAATTCGACAGAACGAGGTTTGACTGCACGAATGAACTGTTTATTCCAGTCAGTTTCAAAACTATGGAATTCGAGAAGGGACATTGTCGCGTGTCGCGTTTTGGTTAATTTTGCCTCATTTTGCTTGTATTTGAGAGGGCGACAACGCGACAATATCCCTTCCAGGATTCCATACAAAACAAACATTTTCCTTAAACACTGTCCTTTAACGATCCCAACGGAAAATCACAACATTAAAACGCCGAATCAAGGTCGTGTTTTTTCAGGTGAACAATTGACCTGCCTTTGCGTGTGTTTGTGACGGGTAGGACGGCGAGGCTGGAGAGGTTCACGTTTTCGAGAACACCTGAAATTAATGCTATTTGCTAGTGAACTATAACAACGGGCTTTTGAAATAATCGGACTTGGACATGGACAATGGACTCTGCTTTCAGTAGAAATTTCGTATAATTATAGAAAATGTTTTGTTGGTAAAAATTGGTGAAGGATATTGATTATCGTGTTGAGACGCCTGCGGTCAAACAGTGAAATATGATTATCTTGAGTTTAAGGAATGTCGTGACTGTACAACATAAGTTTTACAATGTTACATTTGAAGTTATAGCTGAAAACGGTTTTGGAATGTAACACTTATTCATTTTTCATCATTACGTAACATATCTTAAGAAATGTGCTTACAACATCGTATGTTAACTTAAGAATAGTTAGACTTGTCTATTACGAATCGTTTTGCTTATAAATCAACCCTACTGACGTTACACGTGTGCTTGTGAAATACTGGATGTGCTTTGAATAGCCCTATTCACTTTATACGCGTGCTTATGAAATACTATATGTGCTATGATTTACCCTACTGACGTTAAACGTGTGCTTATGATATACTGGATGTGCTATGAATAACCCTATTGATTTACACATGTGCTTATGATATACTGGATGTGCTATGATTAACCCTACTGACGTTAAACGTGTGCTTATGATATACTGGATGTGCTATGAATAACCCTATTGATTTACACATGTGCTTATGATATACTGGATGTGCTATGATTTACCCTACTGACGTTACACGTGTGCTTATGAAATACTATATGCGCTATGAATAACCCTATTGACTTTACACATGTGCTTATGATATACTGCATGTGCTATGAATAACCCTATTGACTTTACACGTGTGCTTATGATATAATGGATGTGCTATGAATAACCCTATTGACTTTACACATGTGCTTATGATATACTGGATGTGCTATGAATAACCCTATTGACTTTACACGTGTGCTTATGATATACTGGATGTGCTATGAATAACCCTATTGACTTTACACGTGTGCTTATGAAAATACAGGATGTGTCATAATGAACCTATTGGCCATGCCCTGAGACGTGTACACCTACTAGATGTGCCGTGATTAAGCATCTGAAGATTTAGGGTTGTATGTTTCAGGTGTTTGATGCCTTCATCGTCATCGTGTCTTTTGTCGTGGATCTGGTGTTCCTCAATCGCCTCCCCAACTACAAGATCCAGGACTTCGTCTTCATCCTGGCCTTCCTCCTGCCTTGGAGGGTTATACGAGTTGTCAACAGTAAGTAGACATTACGAGTTGTCAACTGTATGTAGACATTACGAGTTGTCAACAGTATGTAGACATTACGAGTTGTCAACTGTATGTAGACATTACGAGTTGTCAACAGTAAGTGGACATTACGAGTTGTCACCAGTAAGTAAGCATTATGAGTTCTCAACTGTATGTAGACATTACGAGTTGTCAACAGTAAGTGGACATTACGAGTTGTCACCAGTAAGTAAGCATTATGAGTTGTGAACAGTATGTAGACATTACGAGTTGTCAACAATAAGTGGACATTACGAGTTGTCAACTGTATGTAGACATTACGAGTTGTCACCAGTAAGTAGACATTACGAGTTGTCAACAGTAAGTAGACATTACGAGTTGTCAACAGTAAGTGGACATTACGAGTTGTCACCAGTAAGTAAGCATTATGAGTTCTCAACTGTATGTAGACATTACGAGTTGTCAACAGTAAGTAGACATTACGAGTTCTCAACTGTATGTAGACATTACGAGTTGTCAACAGTAAGTGGACATTACGAGTTCTCAACTGTATGTAGACATTACGAGTTGTCAACAGTAAGTGGACATTACGAGTTGTCTCCAGTAAGTAAGCATTATGAGTTCTCAACTGTATGTAGACATTACGAGTTGTCAACAGTAAGTGGACATTACGAGTTGTCACCAGTAAGTAAACATTATGAGTTCTCAACTGTATGTAGACATTACGAGTTGTCAACAGTAAGTAGGCATTATGAGTTCTCAACTGTATGTAGACATTACGAGTTGTCACCAGTAAGTAGACATTACGAGTTGTCAACAGTAAGTAGACATTACGAGTTGTCAACAGTAAGTGGACATTACGAGTTGTCACCAGTAAGTAAGCATTATGAGTTCTCAACTGTATGTAGACATTGCGAGTTGTCAACAGTAAGTAGACATTACGAGTTCTCAACTGTATGTAGACATTACGAGTTGTCAACAGTAAGTGGACATTACGAGTTGTCTCCAGTAAGTAAGCATTATGAGATCTCAACTGTATGTAGACATTACGAGTTGTCAACAGTAAGTGGACATTACGAGTTGTCACCAGTAAGTAAACATTATGAGTTCTCAACTGTATGTAGACATTACGAGTTGTCAACAGTAAGTAGGCATTATGAGTTCTCAACTGTATGTAGACATTACGAGTTGTCAACAGTAAGTAGACATTACGAGTTCTCAACTGTATGTAGACATTACCAGTTGTCAACAGTAAGTGGACATTACGAGTTGTCACCAGTAAGTAAACATTATGAGTTGTCAACTGTATGTAGACATTACGAGTTGTCAACAGTAAGTAGGCATTATGAGTTGTCAACAGTAAGTAGACATTACGAGTTGTCAACAGTAAGTAGACATTACGAGTTGTCAACTGTATGTAGACATTACGAGTTGTCAACAGTTAGTAGACATTACGAGTTGTCAGCTGTATGTAGACAATACGAGTTGTCAACAGTATGGGGGCGGTGGGGTAGCCTAGTGGTTAAAGCGTTGGCTCGTCACACCGAAGACCCGGGTTCGATTCCCCACATGGGCACAATGTGTTAAGCCCATTTCCGGTGTCCCCCGCCGTGATATTGCTGGAATATTGCTAAAAGCGGCGTAAAACTAAACTCAGTCAGTCAGTCAGTCAGTCAGTCAACAGTATGTAGACATTACGAGTTGCCAACAGTATGTTGACATTATGAGTTGTCAACAGTATGTAGACATTATGAGTTGTCAACAGTAAGTGGACATTACGAGTTGTCAACAGTATGTTGACATTATGAGTTGTCAACAGTAAGTGGACATTACGAGTTGCCAACAGTATGTTGACATTATGAGTTGTCAACAGTATGTAGACATTACGAGTTGTCAACAGTAAGTAGACATTACGAGTTGTCAACAGTAAGTAGACATTATGAGTTGTCAACAGTAAGTGGACATTACGAGTTGTCAACAGTAAGTAGGCATTTTGAGTTGTCATCTGTAAGTAGACATTACCAGTTGTCAACTGTATGTAGACATTATGAGTTGTGAACAGTATGTACACATTACGAGTTGTAAACAGTAAGTAGACATTACCAGTTGTCAACAGTAAGTAGACATTACGAGTTGTCAACAGTAAGTGGACATTACGAGTTGTCAACAGTATGTTGACATTATGAGTTGTCAACAGTAAGTGGACATTACGAGTTGCCAACAGTATGTTGACATTATGAGTTGTAAACAGTATGTAGACATTAGGAGTTGTCAACAGTAAGTAGACATTATGAATTGTCAACAGTAAGTGGACATTACGAGTTGGCAACAGTATGTTGACATTATGAGTTGTCAACAGTAAGTAGACATTACGAGTTGTCAACAGTAAGTAGACATTATGAGTTGTCAACAGTAAGTGGACATTACGAGTTGTCACCAGTAAGTAAGCATTATGAGTTCTCAACTGTATGTAGACATTACGAGTTGTCAACAGTAAGTAGGCATTTTGAGTTGTCATCTGTATGTAGACATTACCAGTTGTCAACAGTATGTAGACATTACGAGTTGTCAACAGTAAGTAGACATTACGAGTTGTCAACAGTAAGTAGACATTACGAGTTGTCAACAGTAAGTAGACATTATGAGTTGTCAACAGTAAGTGGACATTACGAGTTGTCACCAGTAAGTAGACATTACGAGTTGTCAACAGTAAGTGGACATTACGAGTTGTCACCAGTAAGTAGGCATTTTGAGTTGTCATCTGTATGTAGACATTACCAGTTGTCAACAGTATGTAGACATTACGAGTTGTCAACAGTAAGTAGACATTACCAGTTGTCAACAGTAAGTAGACATTACGAGTTGTCAACAGTAAGTAGACATTATGAGTTGTCAACAGTAAGTGGACATTACCAGTTGTCAACAGTATGTAGACATTACCAGTTGTCAACAGTATGTAGACATTACGAGTTGTCAACTGTAAGCAGACATTACGAGTTGAAAACACAAAACGCAACCAGTACTATAACGTATGCTCGTGCAACAAATAGCAAGTAAGATTAAATGAAGGTATATATAATTCCAGTTACACATTTGGGAGTCGAAATGTTTTATTCTACCATGAATCAAGAAAATACTAGATTCTGATTGGTTGTTCAGAAAAATCAGACGGCATCAATTGTGGATTGACGCTCATCTGATTGTAAGGCCGCTTTACCGCGCATTAACAAATCGTATTGTGAGAACTACTTCCGTTTGACCATAATGATGGCGGATCATAACAACAACTCCATGGATTTTGACGCTGACTTTCGAATTTTCCACATAGGCAATTGGAAATTTTTGGATTAAAAATGCGTTTGATTTCATTGCGCTTCACTGCGCACGTATAGAACACTGCCGCACTACTTCAGCTTGACCACCAACATGACTAATATCAACACAACAGACGTGATGGAAATGCTGATAAAACATTTATTTAAACTCGAAAAATACAATTATATGATTTCCCCCACACAATTATGAGGGAACCTCACTATCATATTACCTTCTATTATAAAAATATTCAAACTCAATTACAATACACAGCCCCAAACATAAACAAAACAATATCTAACATATAAATCAGAAAGCCTTGTAAAAATACATCCCTATCTATGCAAAATATGCAGCAAAACATTAGTAAACATTTACCTACCTGGTAAATGGTATATTTAATTCCGTTTAGAATGGGAAATTTCAAGATAGATTTAACGGTCTGGCGAAACACCACATTTATGCCACTCATAGTCATACTCCATCATATCCGTTGGCGTTGTATCGTTCACAAAATAATTCTGCTCTCTGCCAGCTTCCTGCAAGGTTGTCACTGTAATGTTCATCTACTTTGGAAAACGCTTGGACACAGCCCAGTCCCAAACGACGAAAACAAAGTTCCAAGGAATCACAAGTTAGTCGCATGTACACTAAGCAGCAGCACTGTCACTCTGTTGTCCCATGCCGGGGTGGAGGCAGTACGTGAAATCATGTTCGGCTGGTCATAAAAATCAACAGTCTTTGATGAGTTACAGGTAGTAGGTTGATCAGGAAAGGATCTATTCTTCGATTCTGCAGGGTTCAGATTCGACAGTCAGTCAAGTATTATCCACTGTCACTTCAAATTTCAACCTTTCGCAAAATGTAAACACTGGCTCGTCCGCCATTTCAAACTGTTGCGTAACTGTCTACTTCGAAGAAAATATGGTAGGTCAGACGATTCCATTATAGTGTGGCCAGGGGGCTACAGTTTCACGGCACACAAAACAATAGGCTGATTTTAGTCGTGTGGAGATGGGATGAAAAAAACACAAGATCTTGGGTATTACATAATTGCATTGAATAAACAGTAGTTTGATTTCTTTGGACAGAATATTGTTATGTTGTAATGTTAAAAATACGAACGGCACCTACCGCTCCCTTCACAGACGAGTTCAATTCACCTCTCGTCCCATGCCGGATTACGCAGTGTCTTCCGCAGAGCGAGGAAGTTCGATTTTAAATGGGTCATGGTAGAATGGAGATAACCCTAGTGTGTTTGAAAATCAGAGACATGTTTTACTGAATTGATGGCGACTAAATATTTCAATTGAAACCTCACGCTACGCGTTCGGTTCCAATTGAAATTTAGTCGCCATCAATTCAGTAAAACATGTCTCTGATTTTCAAACACACTAGGGTTATCTCCTAAATACTTTCGATCAGATCGCCCCCTCAACACTGAGTATACAAACCAGACCTAAATCCAACGTGCTACCTCACGTTTTATCAACACAGGTACCTTGCAATAGCATCTAAAATTACATTTCTAAAACTCACGTTTTCATTAGATATAAAGAACCGGAAGTGCCTAAGCGTACATCTTGTCCCGCGGAGTAACTGACATACCGCCATATCATTAGTTGTAATTACATAGCGAAAAGATACTATCCTGTCGACAAAGATGTACGTACAATAAACATTCTAAGCTAATGTTGTTCGTCTTATGTAATGACTACAATACGCCGCCGTTTGGGTAAACCGACTCTGAATTCTGGAATCAAAATAATGGAAACCTGTAAATTTCTCCCGAACGGATTTCTCTCTCCTCACAAAAGCACTACTTCAGATGGATGGGCTAAATTCCGCTTTTAATTACACACGAAACTTGAAGCAAGCTCGTATCTAGGCACATGGACACAAATCAATAGGAAGGTTTTGAAAAAAAAACATCTTCAAGACTTCATTAGTTTGCTTAGCAAACTTTAACGACTTCCCAGAAACGGATCTAGGTTTGATCATAATGCGCGCGCATATTTCAACCAATCATTGACAGCCCACTGCGGCCAAATTTCCTTTTTGGAGGTAGAGGTTTGTGTCGTTTCCCTCTTCGGCCGGTGCAGTGGGATTGTAAAATCAATAACTGAACCAAATAGGTCAGTGATATTGCTTGCCTAAATATTGAAATGCCGCTAAGAAAAGGTTCGGCTTCTACATACCATTCCGAGAACCACGTATAATCGATGAATTCCAGTGTACCACGGCTAAGAAGAGCTTGGAAAGAAGAATTTGTCCGACAAAGTTGAACACGATATTAGACGTCGGCTCATTTGCATACGGCGCCACTCCTAGTCACTGCTCTGATCCCAGTTGCTCATGATGTCAATCACTGGTTTGTGTTGTCCAGACATTATTTACAGGCTGCGGTCATATAGCTGGAATGTTGTTGGGATAGCTTTAAACAATAATACACAAACACACACTTTAGTTCAGGCAATCGGATCTCTCGTCACGCCGAAGACCCGGGTTCGATTTGCACATGGGTACAATGTGTGGAGCTCATTTCTGGTGTCCCGTCGGGATATTGCTGGAATATTGCAAAAAGCGGAGTAAAACTAAACTCAGGTTATAGGCCTCTAAAAGTCTTGTCGTTGCCTGCATAGTTCTTACTTTCGAGGTCGTCATACACGGCTTCACTGAAAAGACCACACCCATGCAATCTTCCTTCCTAGTAGTCATGCAGTAGCATAGTAGTTCAAGAGTTCCCTCGTCATGCCGAAATATAGGGTTCGATTAACCACATGGGTACAATTAGTCTGTCTCACAGTCCCTGAACCACATTATTTTCCCTACTGCCAAGGCCTATCTGCAGTGCTGAAGCCCTAAATAAAGCAAGTCTAGATTTCCTCAGGTTGAGGATCTGTGATCTCCCTGGGGCTCCTTTTCAATTTAAATAGGCTTGTTTGTTACTATCAAAATCATATATATTCAGAGACAAGCCTTAGTCTAGGGTACAATATGTAAGAACCATTTCTGGCGTCCCCCGCCTTGGTATTACACGAATACCGCAAAAAAAACGCCGTAAAACAATACTGATTCATTCACTCACAGGTGCAAAAAGTGTGTCAGTGCGTATGAGGATGATTATGTGGTTAAATTCCATGAACGGCGTTTATACGTGATACACATTAAAAGTGAAAATATATGGATGCTGACCAGGTCATTCACCTAATAGAGGAGTAAGAATATACCTCGAAACGTCGTGTTACTCATAATAAAGAGTGAGTGAGTGAGTATGGTTTGACGCCGCTTTTAGCAATATTTCAGCAATATCAGGGCGGGGGACACCAGAAATGGGCTTCACACATTGCACCCATGTGGGGAATCGAATCCGGGTCTTCAGCATGTCGACGGACGCTTTAACCATTAGGCTACCCCACCGCCCCTCATAATAAAGAAGTTGACATCCAAATATTTTCGCCTTTTAATTTGATTAACTGTTGATTACGCCTATGTCACTATGATTAGACTTGGAACAACGACAGCCCATTGTGTAAAGCCCATTTCTGATGTCCCCTTCTTTTTTATGGGTGGAATATTGCTTAAAATCGGCGTAAAACTAAACTCACTCACTCACTCACACCCCTAGTCACGGTGTGTCTTCGAAATAAGCAGGACCATCTGGTCAGTGTTATCGCTCGTTATGCCGCGAAAATGTTCCATTGTGTTAAAGGGTGGTTGGGTAGCCTAGTGGTTATAGCGTTCGCTCCTCACGCGAAGACCCGAGTTCAATTCCCCACATGGGTACAATGTGTGAAGCCCATTTCTGGTGTCCCTCGCCGTGGTATTGCAGGAATATTGCTAAAAGCTGCGTAAAACTCACCTCACTCACTCACTCACTGCGTGAAAAGATACAGGTATTGAGTGAAGATAAGCCTTGGTGTCCGCTCTCCGATGGCAATGAAACGTCACGCCATGTCAATGTATCATAGTAAATTCAGGTTTTATTATATTTAACTGTCGTTGTTAATTAACGTAACAAGGATGTCATGTTCAGCACATAAACTTCCTTCACTTATGGATTAAAAGATATGTTACCTCTGTGGCCTTCTGAAAAACCGTGGTATGTGTTCATACACCACGTCATTGACGCTACACTGAAAATATCGGTGATTACAAACGGCATTGCTACGTCTTCGTGTGAGAAAACCATTACGTTTGTCATTTTATAAAAAGCAGTATCTGTCAGGTAAAGCTCTTCATGCTGAACTAACGAGGTAATAAACAAAATAATTTAAGACTATCTAATTTGCGAAAGTCGATAGAAAAATCCCTTATGTTAATAAATATTGCAATGACAATTGATTTCTCAGCTAGATATTAAGGTCTTTGATATTTGGTTCGCAAATTATTTTTTCCGAAACAATGCATTCGAAATAAAAACAATAAATGTGATTTTAAAAAATAATCTTTAAAAGTCATTGTCTATGATGAAAAAAACGAAAAGGTGAAGAGGGATTCATTTATGACGAGTGAAAGGATATTTACGTTTTATCTATTTTAATTAGAAGAAGTCGACGAAAAACAAGAGACGTCTTTTAGGAATTTTTGGTTGAAGATCTGTACACAATAAAACACTAAACATGGGATTAAAATACTTCGACAAACATGACATTAAATAAAGATACAACAAAATAAACAAAGACGAATGTAAAACAGATTAAAAAGTACCAAACAAATCCGGATAATAACGATGTATTGGACGCTGTTATAGGTAACCGAGATAGTGTGCAGATTACTCAGCAGAATGGACTTATGTCGAATATATGTCACGTGACAATCACATTAATTAATGATGCGTAAATAAACTAGGGGGCAAAACATATAGTAAAGAAAGAGTATATCAAGTTTGTTTTATGTTATTGAAAATTGGAAATCAAATGGTCTTAAAACATGATTATGTCCATTTAACCATGGCCCATTCCTGTGTTTAAGTAGATCACTGTTTCTGGGTATAGTTTAGTGTAAACGTAAACTGGTTCAATGATTACTGAAGTAAGAAATGAATTTTCAACCACATGACCTATACCATGTTTAAAATGTAAATATAATTATTTTGAAAGAATTTTATTTTTAAATTTTGAAATCAAATTCAGGTTTTTTTTAACATAAATCCAAGAAAAAGTATTCTTTAAGATGCTGACAAAGCTTCATTACTGTTCTTGTTTTATGTAAGAAATCTTTAACTTGGAATCAAACATTTAAAAAAATCCGTGATATTGGTATCCGTGATATTGCTGGAATGTTGCTAAAAGCGGTTAAATAGTGTATAATACCAACACCAACACGAGTACCTGAACACAAAAATGACAGGGAATTGAAACCTCATAACGGGTAGAAGCCTGATCGGACTTGCCGCTTCAAAATTAGAGCCTAAAGGAGCTAGCAAGTCATTCGGATCCACTCGGCTTATTCCGTCACCTGTGGGATCGGGGTATGCTGAATGAGCAGGTCATGTGACTTTTAGGCGTATATGATCTGGTCATTGTGTTTTTTCTTAAAGCGATCATACCGTAGATGATCTAGTGTTGTGGTTTGTGTAAACGTTATCGACTGATGTTGTCTTGTGCTGTTTACGTTTTGTTTACAACTTTTCCTGTTTCGTTTCAGGTTTGGTGGTTGCTGTGAAAGATCACGAGCACTTCCGGTTGAAGCTTGTATATAGCCGGAAGAAGAAAATACAGAATAGTCTGAGGGACACAGAAATAAAACTGCAAATATTTAGGGTGAGGTTTATATAAATATCTGGGGGCGGTGGGGTAGCCTAGTGGTGAAAGCGTTCGCTCGTCAAGCGGACGACCCGGGTTCGATTCCCCACATGGATACAATGTGTGAAGCCCGTTTCTGGTATCCGTGATATTGCTGGATTATTGCTAAAAGCGGAAAACCGTACTAAATCCTAACTTATATGTCTTATTGTCATGGATGGCCGGATTGCAAACTGCCACAAATAGCCGCCACCTCTTGCCATCAAAGATCATAGATGTATACGTCTTTGCAAAGGTTAATATTTAGTCCACAGTATAGATACATAAAAGTAATCGGAACCAATTTCTTGTCAATACTTCTGATGCCCTCCCATATAGACAATTGTCCATGATGTTATTCCATTTGTCCATAGTGTTATTATTCCTTTAAATATTGCACATTAAATCCCATAACCCATGCATCCCTCCTCTCCCGCGAAAAATACCAAATGGTTTATCCTGGGATCGCTCTGTTTATTGCATTTCCAATCTGCGCATTCTTGACCAACTTGTGTCATTCCGGGAGATGCCGAATGCCTTCTTGATACATACGGAAAGATGCGAGTGTCCACGAATACCAGTCGGCGGTTTGTGTAGTAAGGGAGGTAATTCTTTTTTTTCTTTCTGTGGACTGTGCGCTGCATCACAATTTTGACATAGTCGATAATTACATTTTTTTCTTTTGCATAAAACTTGGAAGAATGTTAGTTTTAATAACGCTTCCCTATTAAAGATACATTGTAAACAGCCATAAGCCTCAAAACACCGCAAAAGTTCTGAATGATTGGTATTTCGAAGACATAATGGTTTAATAATAATTTAGTAATATTGGATCAGCATAAAGGGTAAAATCACGCAAGTAACCTTGTTACAGGAACTGAAACGACTGCGAATAGTCCACAGCAGAATACACTTGAATACGCATCATGGAAATCGTTAAAAATACTTCTAATACGGTTGTTTTATTTCTGTCAGTTTCATTACAATAGTTATGTCTCGCAGTTTCTATATCGACAATGTCCTTCGTCCCAATGCTACTAGGCACAATGATGATATATATTTGTGCTATGTCTTTCGTTTCAAATGCAACGTGGCAAAATGATTCTTTATTTATGATATTTCGTGCATTTTCTTTGCAACCGTGTACGACGATGAACTATTTCTTTTGTCTTTCACCCGTGAAGGTCCGGGTTAGAATGAACCTTCAGTAACCCATGCTTGTCGTAAGAGGCGACTAACGGGATCGGGTGGTCAGGCTTGCTGGCTTGGTTGACACATGCCATCGATGCTCATGCTGTTGATGGTCCAGACTCGATTATTTACAGACCGCCGCCATATAGCTGGAATATTGCTGAGTGCGGCGTAAAACTAAACTCACTCACTCTTTTGTCTTTTGTCGATGCAACGTGACGCAAAGATGTGTTATTGCTACCCGTCACATTGCAACGTAACAGTAGGTATTTTGTGCAGTTCATATCTAACCTGGCACAAGTATGATATATTTGTGGTATGTCTTTCGTCAAGATGCAACGTTTCACAACGATGATACAGTTGTGCTGCATCTTTTTAAAAGTCTCAATGCAACGTGGCACATCAATGATAAAGTTGTGCTGCATCTTTCAATCGCAATGCAACTATGCACATCAATGATATATTTGTTCTGCATCTTTCACTCTCAATGCAACTCTGCACATCAATGATATATTTGTTCTGCATCTTTCAATCGCAATGCAACTATGCACATCAATGATATATTTGTTCTGCATCTTTCACTCTCAATGCAACGTGGCACAAGATGATATATTTGTTCTGCATCTTTCACTCTCAATGCAACTCTGCACATCAATGATATATTTGTTCTGCATCTTTCAGTCTAAATGCAACTCTGCACATCAATGATACGTGGCATAATGATGCTATATTTGTTCTGTATCTTTCAGTCTCAATGCAACGTGGCACAGCTATCATATATTTGTTCTGTATCTTTCAGTCTCAATGCAACATATATTTGTTCTGTATCTTTCACTCTCAATGCAACGTGGCACAACGATCATATATTTGTTCTGTATCTTTCAGTCTCAATGCAACGTGGCATAATGATGCTATATTTGTTCTGTATCTTTCAGTCTCAATGCAACGTGGCACAGCTATCATATATTTGTTCTGTATCTTTCAGTCTCAATGCAACGTGGCACAGCGATCATATATTTGTTCTGTATCTTTCAGTCTAAATGCAACGTGACACAGCGATCATATATTTGTTCTGTATCTTTCAGTCTAAATGGAACGTATCACAACGATCATATATTTGTCCTGTATCTTTCAGTCTAAATGCAACGTGGCATAATGATGCTCTATTTGTTCTGTATCTTTCACTCTCAATGCAACGTGACACAACGATCATATATTTGTTCTGTATCTTTCAGTCTCAATGCAACGTGGCACAGCGATCATATATTTGTTCTGCATCTTTCACTCTCAATGCAACGTGGCACAACGATCATATATTTGTTCTGTATCTTTCACTCTCAATGCAACGTGGCACAAGGTTATATATTTGTTCTGTATCTTTCACTCTCAATGCAACGTGGCACAACGATCATATATTTGTTCTGTATCTTTCAGTCTCAATGCAAGTGGCATAATGATGCTATATTTGTTCTGCATCTTTCACTCTTAATGCAACGTGGCACAACGATCATATATTTGTTCTGTATCTTTCAGTCTCAATGCAACGTGGCATAATGATGCTATATTTGTTCTGTATCTTTCAGTCTCAATGCAAGTGGCATAATGATGCTCTATTTGTAATGTATCTTTCAGTCTCAATGCAAGTGGCATAATGATGCTATATTTGTTCTGCATCTTTCACTCTCAATGCAACGTGGCACAACGATCATATATTTGTTCTGTATCTTTCAGTCTCAATGCAACGTGGCATAATGATGCTATATTTGTTCTGTATCTTTCAGTCTCAATGCAAGTGGCATAATGATGCTCTATTTGTTCTGTATCTTTCAGTCTCAATGCAAGTGGCATAATGATGCTATATTTGTTCTGCATCTTTCACTCTCAATGCAACGTGGCACAACGATCATATATTTGTTCTGTATCTTTCAGTCTCAATGCAACGTGGCATAATGATGCTATATTTGTTCTGTATCTTTCAGTCTCAATGCAAGTGGCATAATGATGCTCTATTTGTTCTGTATCTTTCAGTCTCAATGCAAGTGGCATAATGATGCTATATTTGTTCTGTATCTTTCAGTCTCAATGCAACGCTTTACGTAAACTATGCATCACCGAGGGGGTGGATGAGTGGAGGGTGGAACAGCTTCTTCGTATTGACGAATACGTCGTTAGTAAGTACCACTTTATATTCCTTACACCTTATGTCTTAATGTCCTTACTCCTTTTAACTCCTTACTCCGCCTTATGTCGTATGTTCTAACTCCTTATGGTCTTACTCCATGTGTCCTAACTCCTTACGCCCTTGCTCCCTATGTCCTTACTCCTTACGTCCTAAATCCTTATCTTTTACGTCCGTCCTCCTTACGTCCCTATTCCTTTTGTTCTTACTCCTTACGTCCTAACTGCTTATGTCCTAACTCCTTACGTCTTTACGTCCTTACTCTTTACTCATTGACTCCTTAACGGGATGTTAATGTGAAGAATTGTTTCAAAGTTGTCTTTATCAGTTGTACTTTGAGACACGTCATCAGTTCAAAACTTTCGTAACGTATGGAAAATGGTGTAAACACGGCGTAAATGGCTGTTCCGGACACAGAGTGTTTTCTGTTTAAACTAATCCCGAGGAAACGTGTTTTATCTGAGCAATAAGCCGAAAGGAAAATCTGAAACAATATTTATCAACAATATGATGTTCCCAACACTCTTCTCATACATCTTACGAAGCTATCGTAAAATATATCCTGCGGGCGCACTTGTAGTTGAAACAAGGTTCTTCAAAGCATTGTTATTTATCAACACTGTGAAGCCTTGCGGCTTATGCACTTGGTTTCAAGTGCGAGTGAGTGAGTGAGTGAGTGAGTATGGTTTTACGCCGCTTTTAGCAATATTGCAGCAACATCACACCACTTCAAGTAAGAACGTTCTCGATTCAATCCCACAAAAATACAAGTACTATTTGCCTTTTGACACAAAATCAAACGCAATAAATGACTTTGTATTCTAACGTTTATTACGAGGACATATCTCATGAATAGAGGGACATGACCTTGCAGAGAATATGCCCAGGTAACGGGACTTGCTGTAGATTATATATCGAAAAACATGAAAACCTTAAATGAAAATGGAATGACAGTTTTTGAGGTGTATACTACTACTACTACTACTACTACTACTACTACTACTACTACTACTACTACTACTACTACTGCTGCTGCTGCTGCTGCTGCTGCTGCTGCTGTTGATGCTACTACTACTTAACAATATTTCTGCTACTACAACTACCACTTCTAACACAACTACTGTAAAATAATAACACTGCTAATACCAATACTAATACTACTTCCACATCTACTACGTCTAGTACTAAAAATACTGCTACTACTACCACCACCACTACGATTAGTACTAGGGCCGTGAAGGTCCGGGTTAGAATTGATCTTCAGTAACCCATGCTTGTCGTAAGAGGCGAGTGGTGAGGCTCGCTGACTTGGTTGACACATGTCATCTTTTCCCAACTGCGTAGATCGATGCTCATGCTGTTGATCACTGGATTGTCTGGTCCAGATTATCTACAGACCGCCGACATATAGCTGGAATATTGCTGAGCACGGCGTAAAACTCAACTCACTCACTCACTATTAGTACTAACAATTTCCAATAGTATATTGGGTATGCCAGGACTGGACAAGCCCTCTATGCCAAGGATAAACCTGGCTTTACGCTGCAAGGGGCTTTCCACCCTCATGCTTTAGACACACGCTGCTATAAATAATCTTCAGAGTTAAACCCACCTCATACCCGTTAAAACCCGGATTAGAATTGGCCTTCAGCAACCCACGCTTGTCGTAGGAGACGAATAACGGGATGCGGTGGTCAGGCTCGCTGACTTGGTTGACACATGTCTTCTGTTCCAAAATGCGTAGATCGATGCTCTTGCTGTTGATCACTAGATCGTCTAGACTCGATTATTTACAGACCGGCGCCATATAGCTGGAATATTGCTGAGTGCAGCGTTAAATAACAAAAACCAAAGAAACCCTTCTTGCTCAAAATCCTGACAATATATTCTCTTTTTCAGACAAGGCAGGGAAGAGCAAGTGCAAGATTAAGATAGACAATGCCTCTGTGATACTCTTGGATGACCGACGGGACTTTCCGCGGTTATCTCCCCGCCCGTCACTCTCCAATCTCTCGGAGGCGCGCCTGCGCGGTAGCCTCGTTCCCACCATCGAAGAAGAGGATTCCCTCAGCCCAGATAAGTCGGAGATCGAAGAGATAAAGGAATGCAAGGAGAAGAAGGAAAAACCGGGAAAAGAGATGAACGGAATAGGGACAAGTGATGGCAAGTCCAGTGTATAATAAATGCGAAACTCTAGCTACTGCGTGATATAACTGTGAAGGTTGAATCTGCGTCCCTTGATTATCCGGGGGAGTTATTCACACAATGCAATAGATGTGACTCGCCATATTTCAAGACTTCTTTGTGTGTGGACAATCACTCTGGGATCTTTGGGTGCTCAAGTGGATAGACTTTGTCTGGAGCCTTCAGTGAGTGAGAATGGTTTTACGCCGCTTTTCGCAATAGTTTGCAATATCACGGCAGGGGACACCAGAAATGGGCTTCACATATTGTTCCATGTGGGGAATCGAACCCGGGTCGAGCGAACGCTTTAACCACTGCGCTACCCGACTGTCCTGGAGCCTTCAGAAACCGGCTGGAAGATTCACGCGTTGATGGGGATTTGAGGATTATCTTCGTGGTGGCGATAGCGAAGAATGTGCGTGGACAACTGCTTATGTTCAAAGTCGCAGTTCTTGGAGTGAATGGAATCGAATTGCTGCACTTTGGATTCAACCTTCCTGAGCTATGGTGTTGTGTTGGAGAAGGCCAGTATGGACAAGACGGATACCGGATGTTATTGTGTAAAACACGAGATCAACACCACTGGATAAAGTACATTTCATCTCGACATGTCTATGTGACGTCATAGGTGACGTCATAGTGACATCATGACTCGACGATATCATCCTTTGCTATTCTCACTGTGTGTTTTTCATACATTAGCACCTTGGATCGTACCTTCAACTGAAATACGACATCCACACATTTATATCAATTGAATATCGCAATTTGTTAGATACGTTATTTATTCATAGTCTATTATCACACCGGTGCACCGCACCTAATGCAGAAATGTGTCTTTCAGCAGTTGTACATATTCATATCAGTCCACTGAACAGTTGAGAGGCTTGGCAGCACGGACTAGTAGTGTGATACAGACGGCTTTTTGCGTTACTTATGTGGTGTCAAAAGTGTAGATATTGCCCGAATGTTCAGGTCTCTCAACGCCATGGAGACTAGGTACCTGAGCTTGGTATATTGCAGTGCATGAGGACACCCCACCGTCTGTATTCCTCCACCCTGTGTGGTTATTGTTATGTTGACACGGCACCCTCGTTGTGCACGACGATCCCATGCAAGGGAGGTAATCCACTTCATCCAAGGGAGACAACCTGTATCGATTTAGTTTGTGTCGGAAATTTCATTGACGTAAATGCCTTTAATGAAGTATGCTATCCTACGAAAGGCTGTGCAAACATTATATTCACGATATTTACGTGTACAGTCTTATTATTCCCCGAGGAATCCCATACAATGTACATTATCTTTAGTCGAGGTTATTGTTAGAGTCCATCTTGTTTGTTAAAACAAATCTGTTTTATTTCCACGTAGTTATATTTTGTACAAGGATCCATAGGAGTAGCAATCTGGATATTCATTGAATACTTGAGGAGTAGGATCGTCTCAAGGGTCTACTGCCTGTGTACAGTCTATGCCGAGACTGTTTTCACGGTCAGCGCTTGTGTCCAGTCTAGGCCTAGATTGTCACAAAGGTCTGGGACCTGTGTAAAGTCTCTGAACGGGTTGTCGTCACGGTCTAGTGCCTGTATTCAGTCTATGCCCGGATTGTCGTCACGGTCTAGTGCCTGTGTTCAGTCTATGCCCAGACTGTCTTCACGGTCTAGTGCCTGTGTTCAGTCTATGCCCAGACTGTCTTCACGGTCTAGTGCCTGTGTTCAGTCTATGCCCAGACTGTCTTCACGGTCTAGTGCCTGTGTTCAGTCTATGCCCAGACTGTCTTCACGGTCTAGTGCCGGTCTAGTGCCTTCAGTCTATGCCCAGACTGTCTTCACGGTCTAGTGCCTGTGTTCAGTCTATGCCCAGACTGTCTTCACGGTCTAGTGTTCAGTCTATGCCAGACTGTCTCACGGTCTAGTGCCTGTGTTCAGTCTATGCCCAGACTGTCTTCAGTGCCTGGTTCAGTCTATGCCCAGACTGTCTTCACGGTCTAGTGCCTGTGTTCAGTCTATGCCCAGACTGTCTTCACGGTCTAGTGCCTGTGTTCAGTCTATGCCCAGACTGTCTTCACGGTCTAGTGCCTGTGTTCAGTCTATGCCCAGACTGTCTTCACGGTCTAGTGCCTGTGTTCAGTCTATGCCCAGACTGTCTTCACGGTCTAGTGCCTGTGTTCAGTCTATGCCCAGACTGTCTTCACGGTCAAGCGCCTGCGTCAAGAGTACGCCGTCTTCTTGGTCTAGTGACTGTGTCCAGTCTATGCCCGGTTGTCGTCACGGTCTACTGCCTAATTCAAGTATATGCTCGGGTTGTCACCACTATCTGGTGCCTCTTTCAGACCTATGCCTTCGTTGTCTCAACAGTCGAGCCTGTCTCAATGTAAATACATTATTTCATTGTCCAGTCAATGCCTATTTTGTTCAGAAGGTAGGAAATACTGTTATCTTTCCAGGTTTACGATAATCAATTTTTAATGACAAATTAACACAGTGTGTAACCATTTTCTGTTTGAAACGAGATTTCTGGCGACTCACGACGACAGCAGCCATTGTGGCACCTAAATATCTGGCGAAACGTTTACCCATAACGAGAGACAATACAGTCCAGAAACACACATGTTCTTGACAAATTGTGTAAAATAAACCTTCTCTTATTATTTAGATTAATCATAAACTATCCGTTTCATACAGACAGAAATGCTTGCGATGATGGAAAGACATCGGTTAAACTTGCTTGCCTGCCAGTTTTCAATAGCCAAGCACCCCTTTAACGACATGATAGCATAATTCGGTATCTGGTTGAGAGACAAGTGCCTTGTAGCCAAACAACGAATGAAAATACATCTGTATCTATTTCGACAAAGAGCGCAGACGGGTCATTCTTGTACAGTGTCCAAATTTACATGTTAGTAGTTCAGCCCTTCTTTCTAGTATTTAGGTTGTCTCATATCGCAGTTAGTTGGCGTAAAATGTTCAGTGAAAATTTTGAGTCTCAGCCGGGAAAATGTGTACTGTGAATGCAGTTTAGATGGGTTTTGTAAAACGGATGTTTTGTGATTCAGTTACCTCATTGTAATGTCAATGGCCTATCGCTCTTCATCTTTCATTAGATATACTTTGCACAACGAGGTTGTCGTGTTGTACACAGCTTAGAATGTTTGTGTCACGTGACTGCATGTGGGTCACTGACAAGCGGAAGTGACATGACGTCACTTCCTGAGACAAAGCCATGCCGCTGATTTGAACATATTGATGGTTTTATATTTTACGAAATCTCGTTTATGTGTGTTATGATTTTCATTATGTAAATCTATGGCAATAATTGGAATTTTTTAACAGTGCAACAATATAGGATGGTGAAACTCAGAGCGAATGTACATTCCTAGTCTGTTGTGTGTGACCTCTTTGAAGACTTTGTTTCAGCAATCGGTTAGCGATCACGTAAGTAACCTCAACAGTACATGACTCGGGTCTCGTTGTGTTGCACCTCAGCCCTGATCAAGATTACTGATTACCCAGTCATCTGAGACGCACCACAGTCAACAGTGTTATCTGCCAGAGGGTTCCACAATAGCTTTCCACTCAGTCGTTACCCAAGTTTGTTCCTGCAAAAATATCATGGCACTCGTTAAGATATGGACAATTCTTTTATAAAGACGTACTTTGTTTAGACATGACCATTCTTTTGAAGTATTTTTCAGGCCCGTGGAAGCATTGGGGGTTCCACGGAGTCCCCACAACTGCATTCAGCCTCGCCCTCATTTTTATCAACAAAGTTTGAAATTGAGAATTTTCCTCATCCTTCCATCTATTGGTATCCATCCACATACGCAAAGAGAGTAAGCTGCAAATTGAATTCCGAATTAATTTAATATATATGCGTAAGTTTAGATTTAAATATATGTTTCATAATTTGTTGAATTTCCATTGTTGAATCGGAATTGCGTGCCCCACCCCCTCCAACCCCCACACCACACACCACACACCACACACACCACATACCCTAGCCCTACAGCTACAAATGTATGTTCGTGGTTTCCCCGCTGTGAGAAATGCTCCCAAGGACCGATGTGCCATACCTGTATATTCTTTGAGTACCCGTTCAAACTGAAAGCCTTTGAATTATTTCAAGGGCGATCTGCAGATTTGGGTTATGTATATTTATAAATGCAAAGACTGTAATTATCTTTTCTATTTGACGGAACAAAAAGCTACCGTTGCTTCTGAGTTCGAATTGGTTTTCAGCCAACCGGATTTTTCAGTGTTTACAAATTGAGCTCAAATGAGAGGATAGGGGTGGGGCAACTATTTTCAGCCCCAAATATATGTTTCATCTGGACAAATCCTGTGCAGTTTTATTTTAGTTTTGTTTTAAATGTATCACATGAAATCCGTTTAGTACTAGTATGCATTAGAGATAGGAGAAAGCATTAATGTACACGGCACTGGTAAAATAATAAACTTTTAATAGACTGTAAAAAAGACGGCGAAAGAGGGTTCGCTAAAATTTACTACAGCCATTTGTGTAAGGATGTGCAAATGACAACATCCTACTTTTCAAACTTGGAACATTATTTTGTGGGATGGATCGAGAAAAAGTCTTATTTAATGAAAGGTGAGAAAATATTATGCAGACCAATCCAGCCCTTTCCCTCCTCCTCCAATCATCCCACGTCTCAAAATGAGTAGATAAACAAAATTAAAAATAAAATAATTGCCCAGCATCATGTTCAGGGTAAAATGTTTACGGTACAACAATCTGTCGTGTCCCTCTGCAAGCATCACCAGAGTCAAATATTTATTTCCATCGGAATATGCGTTTACATTTAGATACCTGTGATCATCATTGGACAATTGAAAAATAAATGTTCGATGGACAGTTTTGATGACTAACGCAATCATAATAAGGGTGACCATGGTGGGTGGAGTTTACTGGTGTGATACACTTGCAAGAGTTAAACCGCTATTGCAGTAGTGTTAAAACATTCACAGTATAGACATAAATGTTGCAAATTGTGTCAAAAGGTACCCATAATCATCTACAATGTAGGTTGTCTGGCATTATCTGCCATGGTAGCCACTATTGCCCATCAAGTCCTAAATTCACAGATCGTTGGGAAACCTGTCGGGATTCAAGGCAAGGGAGATAACTCTTAACCTTATCTGGTGAAGCTACACTAAAATACCAACAAGGTGCCTCTCTTCTAACGGTGGTATCTTTTATAACAACAAAT